CACACACACACACACACACACACACACACACACACACACACACACACGCGCGCGCGCGCCACGGCCTTTACACGTGTGTATGACACTCACATTAACATGTGCATACACACAAATAGCCATCTACCTATCTATCCACCAGATGAATATTTGCAACAATTGCAAAGAGAAAGCATGTGAACAGTTTGCCTCTGTGTTCCTTTAGCTGAGGATGGGGAGGTGGAAGGTGAAAGGAAAAATAGAAGAAGGTAGAGAAAGAGAGGGGAGGAGGCACCCAGCCCTGTGGTTTTGGGGGGTTAAACGGCAGAACATGCTCGCACATTAAGAGCCATTCGATCCGCAGCTAACTAGGGAGTCGCGACTCTGTTTGCAAAAGGCCCCGCAAAGAAGTCTAACCACTCCTGTGCTCCTTTCATCCAAATCCAACAGTGACAGTGGAAGTCATGGCTGACTCAAAATGACTTCTTTCTTTCTATTTCCAATCTATTTCATCTCCATGTCTCCTCTACGGTTGAAATGATTTCTAAGGCCCTGTTCGTTTGCTCCCCACTCTATCTTTCTTTCTCTGTTTTTCTGTCATTCACTTTCCTTCCTCCCCTCATGAAGAGACCGTGGCACCGCCCCAGGCCACACTAGCTCACTGACTAACATGGGGGCGGTAGGAAAGTGGGGCACTTGGGAGTTCCTGTTCTGCCTCAATTTTTTTCGTCTGTCTTTTCTCCATTTGATATCAGTTCATTTAATGCGCATCTTTCCAGTAAACACTCACTTGAAATAAATCTCAGCATACGGACAAGACCACTGTGTTTGAAGAAGTGGTTTGTATGAGTTGGAGAATCAAAAACAAAAAAAACAATGACATTGCTTTGATATGTTACATATAGCTATTTCTGTATTTCAATGCAAAACCGGCGCCATTGTATTTCGGATCACACTTCCACTTGAGCACAGTTCACCTCTGTTAGCAGCTGATTGCCCCCTTTTGATAAACTGAGCATTTTATCAGCTTCTAACACAAATATCCTTGTTCCCAAACGGCTAATATTACACACTCATGGTTCACAGATCAGCATGCTCAGAAACCGCATTGTTAATAAAGTCACATGCACTGTACATATTTCGTCAGAGAACCACATGGAAAAACTACTGAATCGCAGCTACAAGACGCATCACTGTAATATATCCGTAACACCACATGGATTTCAACATCGGCATAAATTATGGTGCAGTGAAAGAACGGAGTGCTTTAAAAATCCATTACGGCATTAGACTTTGTATGGCGAGCTTCATATTGAAATATTTGCGCGCAGCATGTGGTCTGCAGGAATATGTGGTTCTGTATGTGTTTGAAAGAAAGGAGAGAGAAAATCTATTTCCCCTGTTTGAATGAAACTTAAAAGCGAGAGCATGCGCGTGCATTTCTGACATTATTTCTGAGCAGTGAGGGGAATGCCTTTGACATTAATACTAGTACAGGTGTATGTATACATTTACAGGAAGACGTGTCATTATTAGAAAACACAGCGTCGCTGACGTTAGACGCAGCGTCAATGTGGGTGGGCTAACACACACATGTGGCAGCGTTGGATTAGGAAGCGGTAGGCCGCATCATTTTACTACAGAGACGTCTCTATGTGGCCTCGCCTGTCTCGTGGGAGCCGTGAAGCCCTCACACCCAATCCTTCTATCCCTTCTCTCCTCCCTACCGTTTTCTCAGTGTCACTTGCTATTAGCGTCTCACCCATCAACGAGTTTCTTTCCCACCAAGTTTCTTCCATTGAAACTCGCCTCTAGTGGCAGCGTTCAGGTTTAATCCAATCTGGAGGGTCAATGTGGAGCCGCTTCTCATTTCCCTTTCCTTCACTCTTTATTTTCCAGTCACAAAGGTGCCGTCATTATAGGGTAGAAAAGAGGAAATAGAGGAGAATAATGGTGCTTTTTAGTGTGAAATACTGAGAGGCAAACAAGGAGATGAGAGGAAGATGGAAGATGTTTTGTTCTTTTTTTTCAGCATGTAGCTCTGGGGCAGATGTTTGCAAATAACCGGCCACAAAACAGAGGAACAAACACAAAGAGCGCAACTAACTTACCTGCCATCGTATTCCATAGTTATGGAAATATGTGAGAGGTTTGATAAGTTCCAGTACCTGACAGTGAAAGATGTATTCTGGTGTGGCCTTCTTAAATTTGAGGTTCCATACTAGCGCAACACCATCCGGTTCATGAGGAGCGTCTTCATTATTGTTATAAGAGGCAACAAGCAACTCAGGATACTGAGAGGACAGGAGAGAGAGAGAGAGAGAGAGAGAGAGAGAGAGAGAGAGAGAGAGAGAGAGAGAGAGAGAGAAAAAATACATCTTTTATTAGTGACACTTAACATCTGCGTAATTGGTATCAAAATTTTGAAATGGAAGAAAATGTTCTTGGTGCATTGTTTGAGTTCACAGTGACGCCAGGCTGCTGGCCTCACCTGAGGGGACCAGTCAAGGCAGGTGATCACGCGATGTTTCGACCAGTGTTCATCGTAGAAGAGTCTACTGAAGGACAGACTGGAGCCGCTACCCAAGTCTCTGAAAAAGAGACAGTAGACATAATGTCAGATAACCTGCCAAGGTTCATAAAAAAAATCCTTCTGTCTGCAGGGGTCATTTGTGATCACTGTTTAAGGTACCTCCAATCTGGATCTTCACAAAGTGAACTAGCCACAGTACGTAAGTGCAGCAGCTTTTTTAAACATAATGCATTGCGCTGCATTACGCCTAGCTGAATGCTAAAAGTGGAATTCATGCATTTATCATGAACATATATCAGAAATACAAATTTTCTGAAAATGCATAACTTTAGTGAGATAAAGTCAAATGTAGTTCAAAGCATAGCATGGTAACAAAACAAACAAAACATGTGATGCGTTTGTGTCTAACAAATAACAGAAGCATAAAGTATGTCTTCATGAAGCTCAGTGATTGAAATAAAATATCATCTAATGTACACGAAAGTGCCCGAACACACCGAGTCCACAGTCGGCCGTCCATGTTGCCTGAAGCTTAATGAAATGCATTGGCTCTAGAACAGCTCGGCATATTTATTTGACATCAGAAGAATTTGGTGAGAGAGCAGTCTGACTGGTTGTAGTGAGTCATAGTGAGTCAGTAGTTGGATCCTGTGCACATTGTTGCATCATTTCAGAACGTTGTACCATCACAGTTTTGTCTTTGTGTCCATTCCTTAATGTCAACTCAGTTACCAGACCGTCAGTTATAAGCAGATTCTTATTATTAAAACAGATTCTGTACACTAACCAGTGGGAATTATCCACTTTGTCTTCAATGCTATGTGAGAGTTAATAGTAAAAACAATGTAATGAAATGTAGGTTATGTTGTTACAATTTCATAAATAGCATGTCAGTGGAAAAAAGAAGGGGACTGATGTTAAGCACTGGGTCACGGCCTGTTTTAGACATAATCGCTATTTGACCACAGGCTTGATGCTTCTCTGTGGCTGCAGTGGTCAAAGCCGAAGTGAGCTGCATTCTTCTATAATAGCAGAGCAGTATACTAAAACAGCTTTGCACTTATGACTCTTATAACTTCAACCAACACTTTCATTAACCTCCATTTGGAGGCAAGTCTTCAGACGGAAAGACAAAGCTCTTGTGTCAGTTCACAGGAGCTTTCAACCCCCTGAGAGTGTGACATCAGCAGGAAGACATGCATTTTGAAGAACAAAGAAGCTCCCAGGCCCGCTAGATTGACACAGTGGGCGTGAGTCAGTCTTTGCACATTTCTTAGTTTGAGGCATGCAAGTAAACACTCACATGTGCTGTGATATCCAAACACTGACACTCTCCTCCTGCCCCTCTCTCGCCTTCTCTCTGCTCACCCCTCTTTGTCCTCCAGGTCCCGGCCGCTGTAGTCAAAGAAGATGTTGCCGTCTTCGGCCAGAGCTCTCTCCATCACCCGGATGCTGCAGTCGAAGAAACTCTGAAACTCAGAAGAGTGCAGGATCTGCTGCCTCTCCTCCTCTGTCAGTTCCCGCAGAACTGGAAATGAGCCTGGAGAAAGGAAAATAATAAATACACAATCAACTTTTCCATTTTACTTTATTTATATTTAAAGTATACATTACACAAACTCTTTTTGTTTTCTTTTTAGGCTAAACCCTCTTATTTTTATTATTTACCTATATTAATAAAAAAAATAATAATGCATTTGAATATGGCATTTCAAATCAAATAAATACAAGTCGTTTTTATTTGATGTGACCTGCCAAATATAGTTAGTTTTTGTTCTCTCCACCTTTCTCTCAATTACTGTCCAGGAGCTCTAAACTGAGAAGTGTCTGTTTACTCTAATCAGCTGACATTGTGGCATTTGTGATGACCCGTCCTGTGTCTCTGCTCTGTCTGGCATGTTCACGTGGGCTGATGAGCCAACAAAGCTGGCCAGTTCAGTCTGTCTCACTCTCTCTTCTGGTTTGGTTGCTTTGCGTTGTGTTTTGTTTTAGCTTCATAACATATTTTTTTTTTACTCATCCTGGCACTGATGTACTGTTTGGTCACATCTCTTTATTTTAGTTTTGTCAATTACATTATTTAATAAATCGTTTCATGTTTGACCTCCATCCTGTGTTTTCTGGACTGTGAGCCAGTTAATGACACTTTTATTACTGACAAAAGTACAGATACCTCGCTGTATCTTGTTGTACTGTATGCAGTAATTGTCCTGTTTACTTCTGCACAAAAGAAAAAAGTACATCACGTGTTCCCAATGTCAGATTAACATTCACTTCATCTCTATCAAACCCAGAATCCCATCCAGGACATAATAAACTACAAACAGCTCCTAATGCATCTTTTCTAATAAAACACTACAGCAAGAACTTCATAAACAAGAGAAAAACAAAGCCCTCTGAGCACGACGCCTCCCTTTGAACGTAATGGCTGCACAGCACGGCGTCCGGTTTTTGAAGTCACTGTCCCCAAGCACACATGCAATTTTACACTCACAAGCATGCACAGACACACATATATCGACCTTTACCCTGCCTCTTGACTTTGATCCCCCCCATCCCTTTGTATTTCTTACGAGTTGTCAGAAAAGACCCAGTGAATCGAGTGGCAGAGATCAAAGGCCAGACCTTCTAATAGGCCAGGATGGAGAGGAGACGGATGACTGTGTGTTTATGAGTGCATGTGTGCATACATCTGTCTATGTGTGTGTGTGTGTGTGTTTGAGTCACATTCAGTGCAGTCACTGTGTTTATGCGTGTGTGTCTGAATATGAGTAAGTATATCAATCTGAGTGTCCGTCAAATGTTGTGTTTTTAACCCACCTAAGCTCTTTTCTCCATATTTTACCACATGAACCATCCACATAGGCATCCACAGACACACTTCTCCATTCCTCTCCACTTTGAAGTGCGGTCGGGGGGTCAAATGACAGGTTTTTAATCAGTGCTGACCCCCACATGCCATGGAGCTGATATGCTGGACCCGCCTTAACCCCCACCATAACCTACCCACATCCCTCCATCTGATACACCCACTGACTGGCTGAGGGTGTCACACACAAGTGACCGTGTTTCGTGACAGTTTGACCAGCAACATGTGAGAAGTCGAGGGAAGAAAGAGATAAAGAATGGGAAGTTTTGTGTTTGCAGTAATTGGGAGTACAACTGCTACATAAAGTATTTTCATGCAGGAGGAAATTTACACCTGAATTATTGAGGTGATAAAGAATCACTAAAATCATAAGAGCTGATCGTTTTAGCTCTCCCATCATCCATCAATCCTTTTGTACCTTCTTTGTTTTCCCTGTTGTCATCGTCCTCCTGCTGCTCAGACTCGGGGCCTGGCTTCACCTCCATCGTCTCTTCATCCTCCTCTTCCTCCTCCACTGAAAGAGTGTTAAAAAAAAAAAAGAAAGAGAGAGAGAGAACTCATGTTAATCAACAGCTGTTGCAATTTTCTTCGACCTCCCGCTGGGTACTGCCTTCCCCCCCTTCTTAGCAAAATAAATAATCATTGGCAGACATGCACCGGTACACCTGACTAACTAACATTTGGTCCAAATGGGTTTCATTTACAGACACACGCACTCACTTTTTTTTTTCGAAAACACAAAGAGTAAAGAGTTTATGTTACTGCTGCTTATGTATCTTAAGTATACATGGTCTTGGGAAAAGAAATCCAACAGGAAACAAGCCCGTGCCCAAATCCGTGTTGTAGTTGTAGCATGTGTTCACATGGTCTGCATGTGTGGACATTGTGCACGCAAATCACACACACACACAGCAGGAAATGTCGGAGTTGTGTGAGCTCTCCTCTTTTTATTCCACCTTTGACCCCAAAAAAGATCCACTGATGTGTGTGTGTGTGTGTGTGTGTGTAAAAGGGGATTCCCTCTGCATTCCCTCCAATCAGGCTCTGCAATTACGCTTGCCTTTTCAGGATTTATTGTAAGTGTGTGCTGTGTGTGTGTGTTTGGAAGGGGGTGGGGTTCAAGTATGAAGGGTTACTGTCAACATAGGCACCTGCTTGTCCGCTACTGCGCCCCCAACAAGCCCCACACCCCTCGGGCTATGTGTTGGTAACCCTTGCCAACCTCTCCTCCCCTTTTCTGCCGCTCCCCTCCCTCCGAAACAGATGCTGAGAGTCGAGGGGGCCTCTCAGAAGACCTCTTAACACTCTGACACCGTGACCAGACACCTGTGGTCTGCCAACACACACGCTACACACATATACACTCTCTCTCTCTCTCTCTCTCTCAAACACACACACACCCGGGGCCCTCGCCTGCAGTGCCAGGGGTGGTGAGGGGTTAACTGGCGCAGGGTCAAGCTGACAACAGTCGCTCAGTCCAGCGGGAGGAAGTGACTACATCACACCCTCAGACGTGTCATGTCTCTCTCTCTCTCTCTCACACACACATACACACACACGTTGGGGTGTGTTTAACTCAGCTGGAGTATGGCCCGGGGCACTGTTAAAACCACTTGCTCAAGAGCCGCTCTTGCACCGGATGAACTGTCCATTCATCACTTGAAGTCGCCTAAGCTTTTGATGAACTCACTGCTGCAGCTTTAAAAAGGCGCAAATAGGATGATAATTGGTGGAGCACTTTAGCAATTTTATTATTACAATCGCAATAATTTCTGGCATTATTTTATTAATTATTTAAGGGTTTCCAGTACATATCTCTCTCTCTCTCTCTCCTCTTATTTTCTTTTGTTTTTCACTCCTACGTTAAAGTTTTTGATTTATGACTTTCCTTTTCATGCTGTGTGTATATAATAAATGACTGAGCTAAATCAAACACGCGGCGGTGAGGCTCAGTCCAAGTCGGTGGTTAACAGTCAGCTGTAGACATCCAAACACCAGTGACCCACCAGTATGGAGGGGAGACCAGAGAGGACCAGACAGGCAGACTGCCAGACTAGCTCCATGTCTGAGCTGCCAAAACAGACAAGCAAACAGAGACGCACAGGAAAACCCTACTATCGGGATCCTTTTGTCTCTGCCGCCATGCTTCAGTTTGTGAAGCTTTATTTCTCTCGAATGCTTTTTTTGTTGTTGTCATCTATCATTCTCATCACTTCCCCCCTCCACGAACTGCTGTCTGTCATTACTCAGCAAAGGCTTCAGGATGTGAAACAGAAATGTGGATCCTGCTCACCAGCATTGGGAAGATACATAACAAACTTCTATTCTTTTTATTCTTGACCTTACGTGACCGGTCTGTCCGGTGGTTGGAATGTGTGGTGATGGGGATGGGAGGAGCGTGAGTAGAGGAGAGAGACCACATTGAGGAGCGGTCAAACTGTCAACCCCCAGGACCACAGGACGCTGGAGCAAGGCAGCGTGATTCATGGCCTATGGGTTACCTCACCGAGGGGAGACGGTCCAATTCCTGTATGAAGATACTGCTGATGTCGTTGCCAGCAGCCATGCATCAAGTTGTTCTGTCAAGAGTCCCGCACCAAAGATATCCAGACTATTTCCTTCAAATGGAAATTTTCAGAGATACATTTCTATGTATGCAAGTAAAGCAAAACCTTAGATTGCGGTAAATGATACTGGAAAGTAGGACTCGTGGGTTGAAAATAATGATATAAAACTTTATGTAAACACACACACACAGAGGCACAACAGGGTTTCCTGTTGAGTTGCAAAAGAAGCAGTGAGGATAAATCAAAAAGAGCCAATCTTCCACAGTTTGAGTGTGTCTGCCTGCTACCCTGTAAGTATCTGCACACTTCTTGTTTCCACCTCTTTCCAGATACGGGTTGCCTTCTCTTTCCACCTGCCGCTTAATACCGCTCCTCACTGCAGGACAACAGGTTAACTGGTATCCTCCCCCTCGCCGCAGACGGGGGTCCACCTTGATGAAACTCCGCTTGGGGGCTCCCGTTTTGGCCGGCTACACACCCGGGGTAATAATATCCTCGGTAGCCCGGGACCGCCGCATCTGGCTGCCTCAATCATCCCCTGGCTGCTTACTCATGCTGACCGTGCCCAGTCAATTCAGCACAACCCAGCAGGTATGCAGACACACAGACTCACAGTGTGGAGATACAAACACAAGTACACACACACACACACACACAAATTGGTAAAAGTGTTTGTAAATGCATATGCTCACACACACATACACATACAGAGGCATGTGCGAGAATATGTGAAATTGTTTGGAACAGAGAAATATTATTTACTACAAGAAAAGATGGAAGTAACAACATAGCCTTTCATATACTCTCTCTTCATAAGTACTATGCTAGAAACGGGCCGATATGCTGTCAGTTAGGCGAACAGTGAAATACAATACTACCGTAAAAACTGCAGTAATGTAGTTTGACTACTCTGTTCGTACACCCTTTCTGCATTGCATGGAAATATACAGCAGCAACATGTGCTGGTACTGTATCAATATATTTATAAAGAAAATGCTTATGATATTCTGAAATGATGCTGGTTTTCCTGCACAGAGTTCTTCCAAAGCTAGATCACTCTTAACCCTCTCAGACTGACAGGAAGGAGTTAACTGGTAATTAAAATGCAACTAGCTACTGTATTGAGCCTAATTAACACTTTGTTATCATGTTTTCTGTGCATGACGCTCTTTTCTTTGCTTTTATGAACCAACAGAAAAGTGAAAATACGAGTAATGGGCTGATCTGTTTGTGGAATAAAGACAACATAGTCTTAATGAAGGCTGATACACCGCTGAGCGTTTCATTAGCTTAAACATCTTGTATTATTTCACAGTAGGCTGCAACTATCGAGCATGTGGTGAGAAGTTTTAAAGATACCGACAGCGTATAAAAGATGTACACACTGTCTTCTGCTCCCCTTCGGCTAGTACATAAAGCACAATGGCCTAGTATGTCACGGCAACAGTGTGTTAGCATGTGTTCTGTTTGGTAAGGATCAAAGCGTTCGCTAACCTTTTACTCTGAACCCAATCCACAGTAAGTGCTAGTGTGTTGAAATGTGTTAGCGCATGCTTGGAGCGATTGGCATAGTTATCAAAGAGCTGCGGGTGTGTGTGTAAGTGTGTGTGCGTGTGCGTGTGTAGAAGGGAGGATGAGACCAGGCCCCGGTTTTGTCATTGACTACATTATGGGGGCAGAGCCGCAGACTTGTCATAGCAGTATGGAGGTGACAGAACTTGTAATTTTTATAGATCTCTATTGTATTAATTACAAAGAAAGAGAGATACTGATATGATAGAGAAGAGGCGGCAGAAACAGGAAGAGGGACACAAAAGAGAAATCCAGCAGGACTTTGGGGGATCCCACGCACTGGGAATAACCCTACAACATTATATACGCATTCATATGGGGACACACACACACACACACACACACACACACACACACACACACACACACACACACACACAGAGTTCGCAGGGGTTCTTGGAGGTTGGCTGTTGGGCCGACCACAACAAGCACTATGCAGAGGAGTAGGAGGCTGACATGACTTGAAAGGCTGCTCTAATGTGGCCCTGGCACGACACACACACACACACACGCACACACACACGCAGACCGAGGCTATGCATCGACTTCACTGAAAACAGCTCGTAGTGTTAGAGACAGACACGACACACACACACACACTACATCCACTTTACCTCTCCATATATTACAAATGACCCGAGGCTTCCGGGGAATTTTCGCACTTTAATTCGTCCCACCTCCAGTAATGTAATCCTTGTTATCTAAAAGATTTATTCAACCACGATGATCTTATACGACTGATGTAATGATATAGGTCACAAATACAATGATGCAAATCTAAGATAAATTAAATGTGATATGACAAGCCTATGGGGAAATTTGTCTTGCCACACGGGACATTATTTTTAACACAAACATATTTAAAGAGATACCTATCTATCGGATAATTCTGTGCAAATCTAGAGCACACACTCACTCTCTCTACACTAAACGCATAAACTGTAACACTGGGAAAACATTTCTTCAGGTCTTATCAAACCATTCTCACACCATTCAGTGAGTAGTATTGAGTGGTGTTAACGCAGACAGAACTTATAAATGAAGTGATTTCATTGACTGAAACACTACTTTTGTCATACCGCCTGTCTTGTCCATGCGTGGAGGACATATTCTATAAAAGACACCTGAGGGATTGCTTCGCCGAGTATAAATATACCATTAGGATGAGGAGTCGTGATTACCCCGTGGCTGGATACTTTAGCGAGCGTCACAATACTAACGATTCCTTATTGTGGATAGAGGGCAACTTGAACTTTGGTCATGGGGACAACAGAATACAGAATCCTGGATCCTGAAACTATGGATCCATCGACCGGATGTGTTTTAGCATCCTGTTCTCCATGAAGATATAGACTTCTCTGTTTTTCTTACAGCC